AACAGTTGAAATCTCAGAGGGAAGGCATGGTTGGGGTAGGAGGGTGAAGGGAGATTAACTAAAGAATTTATATGTTTACTAGAAGCCCACTGCACGAAGATTCGCGCAATAAGCCTTCCTTCCCCTGGCTGCTGGCACCGGTTTTCCTCCGGCACCCGGGACCCAGGCCTTTGGTCCAGTCACAGCGAGGCTTGGCTTCAGTCTTCTTAAGTCTTCAGTCTTCAGTCTTCACTCCGGCCAGAGCCTTCAGGCTTTGCTCTGCACATGCATACTCATCTGATTGGCTGGTGGGTGTAGCAGAGTGACACCAATTTGCATGTTTCTCTTTTATTAGTGTAGATAGAAGCCTGGTGCATGGATGGGGGCCGGCTGGTTTGCCCTGAAGGGTGTCCCAGATCAGGGTGGGGGGTCCCACTAGGGTGCCTGGCCAGCCCAGGTGAGAGGCTGAGGGCTGTTTTCAGGCTGGCCACACCCCCTTCAGGGTGGGGGTCCCCACTGGAGTGTCTGGCCAGCCTGGGTGAGGGGCTGATGGCTGTTTTCAGGTTGGCCTAGCCCCCACACGGGGATCCTCACCAAATGGGGGTGTGGCCAGCCTGGGTGAGGAGCTGAGGGTTGTTTTCAGGCTGGCCACACCCCCTTCAGGTGAAGATCCCTGCTGGGGTGCCTGGCCAGCCTGGGTGAGGGGCTGATGGCTGTTTTCAGGCTGGCCACAGCCCCCAGCCACCCACACCTCCAGTGGAGGCTGGCTGGAAGCAGGGATCTGGGATTTTGGGGGGCCTGGCCAGTCTTGGTGAGGGGCTGATGGCCGTTTTCAGGTTGGCCACGCCCCCCGATGACCCAAGCTCCCAGCCTCTCCTTTTTTTATTTTCTTTTTTCTGGGATTTATTTATCTTCTATAATTGAAACTTTGTAGCCTTTAGCAGAGCCCAGGGCAGGCGGGAAGCTTGGCTTCCTCCATCGCCAGGGGCAACCCAAGCCTCCTGCTCACTCCAGCTCAGTGGCCACCACCATCTTAGTTGGGTTAATTTGCATACTCACTCTTAATTGACTGGTGGGAGTGGCTGGTGGATGTGGCTTGAGCATAACAGAGGGATGGTTAATTTGAATGTTTCTATTTTATTATATAGGAGATGCATAACCCATGGACACAATAATGTGGTGAAGGCTTGAGGGAGGATGAGGGGTGGAGGGGGTCAATGGGGAAAAAAGGGAACATCTGTAATACTTTCAACAATAAAGATAAATGTAAAATAATAACAATAATAGTTGAATACAACTGTCAGTAGAACGACTGCAGGAGAAAAATAGAGAAAATCTTTCAGATTATTTTTTTGGACACATTATCCACTTGAAACGTCTTCTTAATACCTTTACTTCTGTTTGGCTCTTTAATATAATCTGCTATGGTACAGTGGTTATGAGCACAAGCTCTGAAGAGAGATTGGTTCAAATGCCAACTCTGCCATTTATATCTATGTGGTCTTAGACATGTTAGTTTTGTTAGCATGTGTATTTTTGTTGTTGTCTTTTTACAAATTCTGTGCCTTAGTATCTTGTTCTGTTAAGTAGGGATAAAAATCAAGCTGTGAAGATTAGAGATGCTAACACATAGAAAGCATTTAGAATAATGCTCAAGCCCTGGCCAGTGTGTCTCAATTGGTTGAGCATCACCCCCTGAACCACAAGGTTGCCAGTTCAATTCCAGGTCAGGGCACATGCCCAGGTTGCAGGTTCAGTCCCTGGTCAGAGTGTGTACAGGAGGCAACTGATGAATGTTTTTCTTTCACATCATTTATCTTTTTCCTTCTCCATTCCTCTCTCTCTAAAAATCATTAAAAACATATTAAAAGAGAGAATAATGTTCAATAAAGCTATCATATTATTATTATAGTTCAAAATTGCTTTTATATGTATTATCATAGTTGATCCCTCAAGGATCCTATGAAATGGAGGCAATCATTTTAGCCATATTTTACTGATGAGTATAATGAGACTCAATTAGGGTCATTTGCTAAAAACATAAATAATCTGTGGCTGAATCAAAGTTTGAATCTTAGTATTTTAACATTAAACCTTGATTTTCCCCCCATTACATTGGATTATTAAACCATAGCAAAACCAGCCATAAACTACATATAAATTCCTAAAAAGAATAAAACTATTAAGAACATCAAAATATCTATTTTAGAAACTCATTCTTAAACACAAAAGTGATCAGTTAATGTAAGAGTTTACTAAAATAGCTAAAGCTGACTTTTAAAATCAGTGTGTAGCAATTTGAAATCTACAAAATTCTGAAGTGAATAGGGAGGGAGAGGATTTATCAATATGTAATCTTTGCTGTAAATTTTACTTTTTATGAAAACAGTTAAACTCCCATTCTGAGAAAATTCAATACACAAAAATGCAGAACTACAAAATAGTTGAGTCACACATTATAGAGGGAACCTTAAATGTTTAAATACGAAACCTTACCATTTTATTGTTGCTCTAACTGACCAGGCAGTAGTGGACTTTTTGATTACTAATATATTGGTGACATTCAGGCTATTACCCTCTTAGAACTAGAAAATGGGGAGTTGCATTCCACAGAATCCTTATCCACAAGAAACTTGGGGGAAGTTTTAAGAGACAAGCAGAAGATTGGCGAGTATAAATGAATAACTGGCAGTTATTTCTTTTTTCCTAATAAATTTTATAATTTAGAGCATTTGAATGGATCCCTAGGGGAAGAATTCTTTCACAACTAACATTCTTTCTAGTATTTGCATCTATTTCTATTCATAGTTTGAATGTGTTAACCTTCAAGAACTTATATTATTCTATTTAATAAGATCAACCTTTTAATTTATGAATCTAGTTTTTATTTTTAATACTTTATATACAAATGATTCAAATTATCCTTCAAAATAATTTTTAAAAATCATTTGGGCAGATCCACATTAAAAACTAATTTCAAGCAAAAATAGTATGCTAAAACCTATGATCTTAAACAAAAAGATACTGGTAAACTCTCATAGACTAGCGAATCTCACTGTACCTATGTCAGTGTTTTTTTATTCAGCACACCATCAGGCTCTGTCAAACCTTTACAAAAGTCCACATAAGACTTTCTTTAAATTCATCTGAGCACCTCACATTAAAATATCCACTCATCTGGCATGAACATACAATGGAGTCAAGACAGTCTCTTCAATAAATGGTGTAAAAATACTAGAGGAATCCAAAGGCAACAAAATCTCAGACCTATGCCGAAGCAATTTCTTCACTGATACTGCTCCTAGGGCATTGGAAACTAAAGAGAAAATAAACAAATGGGACTACATCAAAATAAAAAGCTTCTGCACAGCAAAAGAAACCATCAACAAAACAACAAGAAAGCCCACTGCATGGGAGAACATATTTGCCAATGTTATCACCGATAAGGGTTTAATTGCCAATATTTATAGGGAACTCATACAGCTTAACAAAAGGAAGATAAACAATCCAATCAAAAAGTGGGCAAAGGACCTAAATAGACACTTTTCAAAAGAGGACATTCAGAAAGCCAAGAGACATATGAAAACATGTTCAAAGTCACTAATCATCTGAGAGATGCAAATCAAAACAACAATGAGGTATCATCTTACACCTGTCAGAATGGCTATCATCAACAAATCAACAAAGGACAAGTGCTGGAGAGGATGCAGACAAAAGGGAACACTCATGCACTGCACTCCCAGGAATGCAGACTGGTGCAACCACTATGTTAGACAGTATGGAGTTTCCTCAAAAAGTTAAAAATGGAACTCCCATTTGACCCAGTGATCCCACTTCTAGGAATATATCCCAAGAAACACCAATCAGAAAGCATATATGCATCCCTATGTTCGTAGCAACACAATTTACTATAGCGAAGATCTGGAAACAGCCTAAGTGCCCATCAGCGGATGAATGGATTAGAAAACTGTGGTACATCTACACAATGGAATATTATGTTGCTGTAAAAAGGAAGGAATTCTTACCACTTGCAACAGCATGGATGGAACTGGAGAGCATTATGCTAAGTGAAATAAGCCAGTCAATGAAAGAAAAATACCACATGATCTCATTCATTTATGGATTATAGAGACCGTTATAAACTGATGAACAAAAATAGATACAGAGGCAGAGCAGCATCGAACAGACTGTCAAACTACAGCAGGAAGGCCGGGGAGGGTTGGGGGGCTGAAGGAGGGGTAAGAGATCAACCGAAGGACTAGTATGCATGAATATAAGCATAACCAATGGACACAAGACACTGGGGTTGGGGAGACCGGGGGAATGTGGGGGGCGGGGGGGAGGGAAGGAGACATATGTAATACTCTTTGTAATACTTTAAGCAATAAAACAAAATATAAAAAAATCCACTCATCCAAGTCAACTGATGTGTATTCCATAGCTGAAAACAGACTTCCTTCATTTTAATTCTCAAATTATGTTTTCAAAACAAGATGTATAATGTTCTAGAAATATGCCATCAGATGGAAATACTTTATTCCTTAGATATGCACTCAAAATCTATAAAATTTAAATAAATCTCACTAGTAAACATTACTAATACAGTAAATTTTATAAAATATTATGTAGGCCAAAGATAGAATTTAGATTTTTCTCTATTGGTCAGAGCTTATCTCCAAATCTCAGACATGCTCAAGGTTATAAGAGATTACTATATGACAAAATTGAAAATAGATGGCTAAAAAGTACCATTATGTTAAGCAATTCATAACTGAAAAAGTAGAAATCTCTGAGTAATCATTTAAGCTAAAGAAATGGGCATTTTTACTTTAGTCCTATGGTTAATCCTGTCTTAACACTATCCTTGGACTGGTTTGAAACCAGCACCTATGTATTTGTTGATTAAATGAACCAACTCTCAGTAAATGTATGTTTCAGATTCCCACCACATGCCACATAAATTCCTCACATCCCTGGTTCTTGCCTATACAGTCAAGGTCATATCACAATACTTCTCTTACCTGTTTACCATCCAGGGTGTACAAGCGTTTCACCACTCCTGAGTCCAGCTTGATGGCATCAGTTATATCAGTGAGAACCTGCTCAAAGGAATGAGCAGTTTTCTTGTTCAGCAGAATCCGGACAGCTTTCCGTGGCTTCACCCCACTTCTGATGATGGTGACAAGTTTGGGCCGAATGAAATCCTTATTCTCCCGCACCTCTGAAGGGCTCCCTTTGGCAGTAGCCAGTGATGACACTGCCCGGGATGCTGAGGTGGTTTTGACATTCACAGACCAGTTTGGGTTCACGTTCTTGGTGTACTCCAGTTTCTTGAAAGGCTCTATTGAGCCACACACATAACTCTCTCCTAAGGAAGAGAGAAATACTTTTAAATTTACTCTAAGGTAAACTCACTCCCTTTTTCATAGTCTTTCATTTTTTTCCTTTTCTACTTAGGGATGAGAACTACTCATGACTTTTTTTTAAATATTTTTAAAATATATATTTTATTGATTTGTTACAGAGAGGAAGGGAGAGGGATAGAGAGTTAGAAACATCGATGAGAGAGAAGCATGGACCAGCTGTCTCCTGCACACCCCCTACTGAGGATGTGCCGGCAACCAAGGTACACGCCCTTGACTGGAATCGAACCTGGGACCCCCTCAGTCCTCAGGCCGATGCTCTATCCAGTGAGCCAAACCGGCTAGGGCTACTCATGACTTTTTAAACAATGCAAGCATGATTAATAGTTAGTGAAAAAGAAAGATTTTTTACTTCTAATTTGGCTCTGTCAGCAACAGACTGGTATCCTGAGGGGGAAACATCACCATTCCTTCCTTTCTTCATCTTCAGATTGGTGATAGAAATATTGTTATTCATAATAGGAAGAAGTATTCTTCAAAATTTAGAAATATTTATATTTGCAAAAAACTTCAAAATCAGAGGTACCTATATTTGCCACCTGAAATAATGTAAAATCTAAAACTGGGTGAAAAAAAAAAAACCCACTTCTTAAAATAGCTATGTAATTGCCCTAGCCTATTTGGCTTAGTGAATAGAGCTTCAGCCTGCAGACTGAAGGGTGCTGGGTTTGATTCTGGTCAAGGGCACATGCCTGGGTTGCAGGCTTGATCCCCAATAGAGGTGTGTAGAAGGCATACAATCAATGATTCTCTCTCACCATTGATGTTTCTATCTCTCTGTCCCTCTCCCTTTTTCTCTGAAATCAATAAAAATAGGTTTTTCGTAGCTATGTAATTTATAAATTTGATGCGAATGTTTGCTAAACATTTTGTAAAATCAAGTAGAATTCCAAAAGCAAGCAGAATAATCATTCTCCCTCTTCTCCCACCTACACAGAGCAAGCATAATGATCCACACACAAAAGGAAGCCAATTCACAACTGTTTATAAATAAAAGGTTTTGAGAATGGTCAACTTACAAACTGCAGCTTCATAAACTCAATCTAAAACAAATATATAAGATGAATAAGAATGGAGGAACTAATGGTATGGTGACTATAGTTGATAATACTGTGTAGTATAAAAGAGAGTTCTTTCTAAGAGAATAGGACTTAAATATTCTCACCAAAAAAAAAGGATAAAATATGTGAAGTGATAAAATAGGAGGAATCCTTTTAAAATGTGCAATTTAAATATTTTACAATTTTATTTGTCAATTATACCCTGATAATGCTAAAAAGAAAATAAATATTTTTTATTAAAAAATACTCCTTAGTAGAGAATTATTCAAAGAGAACATTACTCAGACTATTAAGTAGATGTGGATCACTCACAAAAAAACCCTAATACACATTCCAAGCAATGACAAATTATAAAATGATTGACCTTAAATATACATATTTCATAAATTTAGTCAAAGCATTTTGAAATTAAAGAGTTTATAATGGCTTTTTTCTGTGTTAAAATGTCTTTGTAACTGAAAGTAGTTAAAAAACATTCATAATTGCAGGTAAAGTGACCTAGGATTAATCCTACACAGTCCATTTACTTTTATCTAAAGCCTTTTCCTTTTTTTAAATTAATAGTGCAAGCCTCCAAGGAGACAGGATAAGTATTCACATAAAAAGAACTGAACTAGGGTTTCAAAAATAGAAAAGTACAGTTATACAGGTTATCAGATATTTACTTTGCAAATTTTTATAAAATATACTTCAATGTGTGTTTACACATTATGGAGTGGTACAAATATTACCAATTTAGCAATCCACCTTTTCATCCACCTACCAGATCATGACTGGTCCCAACTATGCTGTTCTATTTATGCAGATATCAAAAACATATACATGGGCTCCCTGATCTTTGTGGCTCAGTTGGCTGAACATCATCCCATGCACCAAAAAGTCACTGGTTCGATGCCGGGTCAGGGCACATGCCCAAGTTTTGGTGTCCATCCCTGGTCAGATCTCATGTGGGAGACAACCAATCAATATTTCTTTCACATCAATGTTTTTCTCTCTCTCCCTTCTTCAATAAAAACATATTTTAAAAAAAACATTCAGGGACTGCAAGAACTGTGTGTTTCTGAAGGCTCTGTGGAGAGACAGTGTGCATGTAGCAGAGGGAAGAGAGAACTGGAAGTCTGGGTTCAATACATGGCCTCTCCACAAATGTGACTGTGGGCAAGTCCCCTAGTCTTCTTGGGGGTACTTTATTTTTCTATCAGTGATGGCTATCCCAGTAGTCACTTTTATTTCACCAGGTTTTAATAAAGATCAAATAAAATAGTAAAGGTCAAAGTGATCTCAAATACAAAATTGCTACACAAATGAAAAACATCTGAGGCTGCAGTAAGCCTGAAAGGAAAATTAAAAAATGAAATTACTAGAAATCCGTAAGCAGGTTTTATATGATAAGGTGTTCATTGTTTCTAGCTACATAGTTACCCGTAAAATCACTTTGGCTCCACCTTATTGTGAGAATACTTTAAACATTCCCCAAGAAGACTTTGGTGAAACTGGTCTGTCAGAATTCTGCGCTATTCAGAGATACACAATTGTCTAATTATTTGTTAAGTTTATATACTATTTGTTAAGCTACTATTTAAAACAAAAGCATGGAGTGGTTTACACCTCAACAAAGGAAACTTTTTAACTTTAAAAAAGAAAATAATTAGAAAAGGGAAGAATTTTAAAGTACTCACATAACAATATGGAATGGGTTTGTTGAAAGAGGAAAAAACACTTATTTTTCACATCTTCTTAGATAAAGCATACTGAAAATTCTTAAAAGCAAAACTGGTTTGTTTCAAGTAACAACAATGAGATGAAATTTTTACTTAACTTATTCTGTCACTTTGAGGACCCTCTGCCTGGTTTATCAAATTTAAAGACTGGAATGAAACCTTGGGGAAGGGTGTGAGACTCCAATAAAGAATGATATTGTGCAAGGAGGAAAGTGACAGCTAAAGGGAAAGGAAGGAGCTGAGCAGCAAACCCAACATCACACACCATGCAGCTCTGTCATTTAAAATCTACTACATTATTCAGGAATTCAGGAAAAGTCAAGATAGGTTTCCTTACATTAATAAGCTTCCATTTAATTGTGCAAATATATTTACATTAAACATATTTATATTTCACAAAGGAGGCAAGAGCATACAATGGAGTCAAGACAGTCTCTTCAATAAATGGTGTTGGGAAAATTGGACAGACATGCAAAAAAAAAAATGAAACTAGATGACTAACTCACACCATACACAAGAACCACTGCATGTAAGAACATATTTTCCAATGATATTTCCAATAAGGGTTTAATCTCCAAAATTTACAGAGAACTGATACAACTTAACAAAAGGAAGATAAATGATCCAAACAAAAAAGGGCAAAGGATCTAAATAGATACTGTTTGAAAGAGGACATACAGAAGGCCCAGAGACACGTGAAAACATTCTTAAAGTCACTAATCATCTGAAAGATGGAAATATGCAAAGCAAAAGAAAAGTGAGATACCATCTCACACCTGTCAGAATAGCTATCATCAACAAATCAACAAATGACAAGTGCTGGTGAGGATGTGGAGTAAAAGGAACCCTCTTGCACTGCTGGTGGACTGGTGCAGACTGGTGCAGCCACTGTGGAAGATAGTATGGAGTATCCTCAAAAAGTTAAAAATGAACTCCCATTTGAATCAGTAATCCCACTTCTAGGACTATATCCCAAGAAACCAGAAACACCAATCAGAAAGGATATATGAACCCCTATGTTCATAGCAGCACAATTCGTAGGAGGTAAGATTTGGAAACAGCCTAAGTGCCCATCAGCAGATGAGTGGATTAAAAACCTGTGGTACATCTACACAATGAATACAATGCCACTATAAAAAAGAAGGAACTTTTGCTATTTGCAACAGCATGGATGGAACTGGAGAGCATTACCCTAAGAGAAAAAAGCCAGTTGGAGAAAGATAAATATCACATGATCTCACTCATATGTGGGATATAATAATCAACATAATTTGATGAACTATAGATCCAGAGACAAATGGCAGGGGAGGGGGGGTGGTTAGTGAGCAACCAAAGGACTTTTATGCATGCATATTAGCATAACCAATAAACACAGACACTGCGGTGGTGGGGTTTGCCCAAGTTGGGAATGGCTGGGGAGGGAGGTCAACTGGGGGAAAAGGAGACATATGTAAAACTTTAGACAATAAAAAAAAACATATTTAACCCCAAATTTTAGATATATTTATCCTATCTAATAAAAGAGTAATATGCAAATTGACCATCACTCCAACACACATGATGGCCGCCCCCATGTGGTCAAAGATGGCCACCCCCATGTGAACACAAGATAGCCAGCAGGGGAGGGCAGCAGTGGGCAATCAGGCCAGCAGGAGAGGGCAGTTAGGGGTGACCAGGCCTGCAGGGGAGGACAGTTGTAGGGGACCAGGCCTGCAGGGGAGGGCAGTTGGGGGGAACCAACCCTACAGGGGAGGGCAGTTGAGAGGGACCAGCCCTGCATGGGAGGGCAGTTGGGGTGAACAGGCCTTCAGGAGAGGGTAGTTGGGGCAAGCAGGCCTGCAGGGGAGGGCAGTTAGGGGGAACCAGGCCAGCAGGGGAGGACAGTTAAGGGCAATTGGGCCAGTAGCGGAGGGTAGTTAGGGGCCACCAGGCTGGAAAGGGAGGGAAGATAGGGGTGACTGGGCCTGTAGGAGAGGGCAGTTGGGGGCAACCAGGATGGCAGGGGAGGGCAGTTAGGGGTGACAAGGCCAGCAGGGGAGGGCAGTTAGGGGCAATCAGGCTGTCCGGGGAGTGATTAGGGGGTGATCAGGCTGGCAGACAGAAGCAGTTAGGGGCAATCAGGCAGGCAGGCAGGCAAGTGGTTGGGAGCCAGCAGTCCTGGAT